CGTCAATCATCGTCTATGGTTTCTCGACGACCTCGTTGAGCTCGTACCGCGAACCATGTTTCCGTGGGAAAATCTTCTGATGTCGTCGGTGTAGAAAGCCCCTATGTGATTTTTTTGATAGAATAGAATGTGCTCTTCAATATGCAATTGAGCTCATTCGGTTTGGTTGGCAAAGTGTAATTAATTCTGTTTTGAATGTGAGTCAGAGTGACTCTTTTTTTTTTTTTGCCCCCCCCCCTGTATATTTCTCCATCACTCGCCTAGCGATGGAGACATCCGTTGTAAAACTTTCAAGCATGATCGCGTACTGTTCCTGAGAAATCTGAACCAGCTCTCTCAGCTTCGAATCGACCAATCCTTCTTCTTCTTCTACGACTCCCTAGCTTTGGTCCAGCGCAGCCGCATGGTACGCCGCACTTCTCAGTCGTCGCCACTTTGCTCTGTCCAGGACATCTTCTACCACAGCCTTGACCCCTTAGGTCCTTCTTGATTGCGTCTACCCACCTCTTTTGCACATCGAAGTCCATCGCCGTTCTTATTGCATGATTCTGTGGCCTCCTTATGGTTAGCACATGCCCACTACCAGGTGCTGTTCCCGTGCTATATCCTCGTTTCTGACCCTGTCCAGTCGCGTCCAGCCGCAGGCCCATCTCAGCATCCTCATTTCGGCGGAGTGAAGCTGCCTTTCGTGATTCTTGTTCAGGGGCCAGCACTCGCTGCCGTAGAGCATCGCAGGCCTTACCACTGTTCGGTACACCTTCCTTTTGAGCTCTGGAGCACCTTCGGTCGCAGAGGATTTCAGTGACTCCCTTCACTTCATCGAGCCGCGTTGATTCGTGCCTTCACTGCCTGGTCCACACTGCCCTCGGCGGCCGGATCGCTCCCAAGGTATCGGAAGTCTTCAACTCATCCGAAGGTTTCTTATGGTCCATGATCGACTCTTTGCCTTTTCCAGAATTCACGAACTTGGCCGTCTTCTGATTTAGCCAATGCTCACCCTCTGCCACAACTTCCTGCCATCCCTGCACATTGCCTGAAGTTCCTTTCTGCTAGCCGCTATAAAGGATGTCGTCAGCGTTAGATCCATTCCCAACAACAGCCCCCCGCCACAGACATTCTTAGTGTCAGGAGGACAGGAAGCTGATCCTTTGTGCAACCCGACCGCGATGTCCACCTCTTTCGTTGGGCCGTGTGGGGTGCGTATAGCAGAAGTCGAAATGTGCAGCTTTGCAAGAACCTCAGCGTGATATAATGATGGCTGATATCTTCTGCTCTCAACGAGGTTGTTAAAACAACAGTTCAGGAACGGTTTCGCGGGAAAAAACCACCAATAATGAAGTTGTAGATGAAAACCAGACGATTAATGTATGAAAAACTGGAAAAAAACGTCGGGGAGGGTCTTAGACAGGTACTCTCCCTCTGCCGCTCAGCAATGGATAAAGACGCACGTTGGACGAGTTGTCTGAACGTGCCCGCTGTAAACGCGCTCCATTTTTCAATCAATTTTCCCTGTGGTCCCAAAACGAGCACGATTGCCGACGCGTCCAATGACGGCCGGCAAGGGGGCGGGATTGGGGAAATCCCCAAAGAACACCCATGTTTGAGGGACTTTCCACCCTGTTTTTGAGTTTCTGAGGTAAGTTCGTTTATTATTTCCACTGCATATGTTCTTCACTAGGGCTCGTGTATCCCTCAGTAGTAGTGGCATTGAAATTTTCGGACCCTCCCTGAACTGTTGCTTTAAAAACAGGTTTATTGGTGCGTATAGTCCCTAGCCCCATCGTGCATGTCCATCACCAGAGAGATCAGGCTTCCAGCATGTTCCATTCCTGGGCGATCTCCATAGAGAGACCTTTCGGGCATAAACCCGTACTGTTCCTAGGATATTGGACCAGCTCTCGCAGCTTCGAGTCAACCCATCGTTCATATAGCTTCATGGTAGGAGCAGTCAATATAATCCCGTGGTAGTTGGAGCAGTCCATCGCGTCACCCTTCTGCTTGAAGATGGGCACGATAGCACTTGTTCTCCAGGCATCCGGCATCCTTTCGTCGGCAGTGACCGTGTTCAGGAAGCGGATGAGCCAACTTACCCATGCTCTTCAAACGCCTTCTCGAACTCTATTGGTACACCATCCGGACCGCCTTTCCGACCTCCACCTCCCCAAGTGCGCGCACCACCTCATCCTCTGTATAGAGTGCAATTGGATCAGCTGCGGACATTGCCTGTGAATTGTTGTGTGGGGAATCTCCTCGTTCAGAAGCCCCATGAAGCACACCTCCGCCGGACTTGGGCTGGCTTTCTCAGGATGACGCCGTTGCTGCCTTTCACACTCTTCACCACCCTGATGTCTTGGAGTAGCCCGATGCCGGGCTTTGGCCAGTCTGAAGACGAACTTCTCTGCGTTTCTGCTTTCCAACTTCTCGTACAAGGCGTCCATCTCCGTGTTCTTCGCCTTGGCGACGGCAGCCTTAGCGAGCCTCTTGCAACTCTTGTAGGCAGCGAGGTCCTCGGGGCTCCGGGTCTTCTGCCAGCGCTTGTATGCTTCCTTCTTCTGCTTCACGACTCGCTGGACCTCCTCGTTCCAGAACCACGCTGCCTTGTCTCCTCTGAATCCACCTCGCGTCTCGCCCAGTACCTCCTTGGCACATCGCAGGATGGTCTCAGCCGCGTTGCCCCAAGTCCGCTGTATTGGCCCGTTAGGATCTGGGAGACCAACTTCCATTATCCTTCGTTTGAGGTCATCCTTCTCCGCTTGGTGCAACTTCCACCACCGGATTCTCGGTTCTAACCCTTGTCTTCTTGGGGAGATCGTGGCCATGTCTGTGCTGGGTAGTCAAATCTGATGGCATCATCAAGGCCGCGGTAATTCGGGGCAACGGCCGGTGCGTACACAGAGAGTATAGTCCAGTACCCCTCCTTCGTGTCTATCCTCACAGCCATGATCCGATCGCTGATCCTGTTCACAGCGGAGACATAGTCCTTGAGCGACTCCGCTACCGCTATGGCCACGCCGTTCCGCTTGGTGTCTTCTCCATTGTTCCCAATTTCCTGGCCTTCTTCCCTTTCCCTGGCCTTTCCATCGCGTCTCCTGAAGGCATAGGACTTGGATATTCTGCGCGTCATCAGATCAGCAACCTCTCGGGACTTCCCAGTTAGCGATCCTACGTTCAGAGTCCCAATTCGAACTAGCTTCTTTGGCCGAGGCCGTTCACTCCTCGGTAGCCCTCGCATACTGACCACAGAACTCGGGGGGGTTCTGCGCGCCACTTCCGGGTGACGTCCTAGCTTTATCACTGATTCTTTTTCGACTTTAGACATATTTGTGTGACTGGGGTCTTCATCAGCCGGCCTGTCAACCTGGGCCTGACGCTGGTACTAGAACCATTTTTGCAATTTTTGCAAGGCATGGTTAACCTCGGCAGGGATCGAACTCGCGGTTTCCAGAGGTGCAGACATAGGAGAGGAAACCCGCGAGGGAGCACAGAGGCGGTTTAAAGGGCTCAGTCCAAGAAGTCCGTCGACCATGGGGTAGTAGATGCGTATCGATCGTGCGACACATCGCAAGTCCCCGAGCCTAGGGCGCATGCATAGTCGGTCGTCCGACGGCAACGGTTGCACAGCGTTAGATGCGCATCGATCGCCGAATATTCAGGCAAGTTTTGACGATCGATACGCATCTAATGCTGTGACCGACGTCATATTCGGCGACAGACCAAGCGATGCATCGCTTGTCCGTCGCGACTTAATGACGTCTATCTGCGACAGTTACAATCGTTGCTGTCGACAACCGCTAGACATGTGCCCATGACCATTCGCCTGGCCATTCCTGCACACCATCGGAATCGGGTATGCAATATCGAGACCACTGTAATTCGGCGCAATGTGGCTGGGGGGGGGGCAGCCGCCGCGCGCGGCGTTGCGGCAACAGGAAATTCGTGAGCCAGGGGGAATGTAGCCAATTCAGGGGGGTTGGGGGTGAGGGCAGTCACTTAGCATGCGTGAGAAGCTGGAATGTTCCGTGAGAAGCTGGAATGTTCGAGTTACACTACATCGCTGAGCGCGCGCGGGCGACTGGCCCCCCCGAGTACATTGTACCATTTTTTACGTGATCAGTACCATGTAAGTTACGTGCCTCGTCCTCGAATATGAATCAAGAAGGTACCCTCGCCTTCAAATAACCAGAAATTGTGCAATTGCAGAAATTGACGTGGCATTAACGTGGCATCGATTCAAGAACATCTTTGAGCACACGTGATGTCACCTTTTCATCGAGAATTTAGCCACGTGTGCCACGTGGATTTCTGGCTGCATGAAACGGAGTGTACGGCTGTTGTGGCACACTAAGAAGAGTTTGTCGTGATTCAGCTGGTACGGTACGCAACACACACAATTCGATTGTCACGCTTAATTCTGCGTGTTCACCTTAATTCTGTCGCTTCACACCTATGACGGCGTTTTTTTTTATCGTTTTTATTAAGGTATTGATGTTTCAATGTGGTATGGTTGTCAAAAAACAAGTGATATCGAAGTTTCGGCAGTTCGTAATCAGTAGAGCACCTCTTGCAGTGGTAGATTCGCTACTTTACGCCCAAGTCCAAAGTCTACCATTACTTCGAGACAGTTGCAAATTTGTATTCTTGAGTACTGTAGTATCTTTTTGTTCCTTCATTTTTTCATTTCCCTGGGTTCATGCGACCAATCATTACCGAAGTGTTCACGATCTGTAACGACCGTTTTTCGTTTGCTAGTTGCATCGCTGTTCTTTCACTTTCCCCTTCACTAGTGATCGGTCTCACTACTCGAAGCTCGTCTTTGTTGTCATTTTATTTCTTTTTAACGAAAACAATCCATTGCAGAACAATTTTCTGTGATGTTTACTCAGCCCATCATTGTATAGAATCTCATCGACCACTCGTTTCAAACTTAATAGCTAGTTATTTCCTATTTCATGTATACCTTGATCCACTTGCCATGGGATGTTTTCATGAATTTTCGATTTATGGGATGGCCACAGTTTTTGTTAATCGTAAGCCAGGCACAATTGCAGCAATCAATACTGTAATCTTAAGCACATCTTGCAGCGATTTTTCTCTTATTCGCTGTTTCCGTGTATTGATACGAATTGTTTTTTCAACGTACGGCTGTTAAAATATCAGTACAGGGCCGTTTTCGTTCTTCATATGTTTTTCTATTCAAATTGTTTACAGAAATGGCTGAAGGTCTTTCCGGACCAAATCTGGTACTGGGGAAATGTTGACAAATCCATGGTCTCTGAGGTGATTCTACGCCGTTACTATATTTCTATAATAAAATCCCTCCGATATATTCCAACGCTTTTGTCTCTAGATCATGCAGGATCAGCCGGAGGGGACATTCATGGTTCGCGATGCATCTTCTCCAGGAGATTATACGCTAACAGTTAGGTCCGTGATCCTTTTCTTATGTGTTCTCACTTTATGACCAAGAAAATATTTTTGGCTAATCCCAATATCAATCATCCCAAGAAGTTCAAATATAATTCTGGTCTGTTGATCTAGACTTGTAGAACGGCGACAGTTTGTTGGCGCTACTAAGAATAAAGCAACAGCTTAATTCTCTTGCTTCGACTCTTTATATAAAAAACCAATCGTGGAGTCGGTTCTCTGACTCATTTTTCAACAGTCACTTTTGGTCATATCTCTTGCGGCCCATAATCTACAAACCACGACCGTTATATATCTTGAGCTCTATACAAGTGGGTGAGCTTTTCACGCATGTCAAGTGACTGCCCTCACCCCCCCCCCCACCCCTAGATTGGCTACACTCCCCCTGGCTCACGAATTCCCCGATTCTCGTGACAGTATAGTAGCGGGCAGCAGTCCCACTTACATACATTTCTGTTCAAAAAATGCGGCGTGCCCACCCTACTTGTATAGCACCATGTCTTGTTTCCTACAATCCTTTTCCGCTCCTCACTTTTCAATTAACTCTTGCGTCTCAATTAACCTTATAATTGGTAAATTAGACGATAAAATCGCTTTTTTGAAGCCATTTGAAAAAGTAGTTCTCGTTATGGTACTGGTGGTTTGGGTGCTTCCATGCGGATTTCACGTGAGCGTAAGCAGAGGCGTTTGGACAGTTCTCAAGTTCTCATTCACCATCAGCATCTGACCGATTGAATCTCCGTCAACATGTCATTTCACCTAAAGCGCAGAATACTCTAAATCGAAATTTTTGTAATTCAATCGTCTATTGTCTATTAGCTATCGAGAGCCTTCAAGGATTGTTTTACACGGTCAGACTGTTGTTCAGATTCGGTGGTCATACAAAACTGGTTCGAATACACGTATATAAGGGACGATGTGGTTTCGCATTGGAGTCCCTCACTCACGATTCGGTTGTTAGCCTAATCGAATTCTACAGGACAAGATCACTGAAAGTCAGTGTCAGCTGAGTGTAAAACGAAATGGCTTCGGTGTAAGGAGAGCACATAAGACGAAATTACAGTGCTACAATGCCCAGCTGGACGTATGTCTCAAATACCCACTGCCACGACGGAAAAACTCTGTTAGAACGGTTGAAACAGTTTCTCTTCCAGCGTCGGTTTCGCCTCCACTGCCCGCCTTCAATCCTGGTATTTTCACTTTTCATATGATTATTTGATATATCACACTATACATATACTACTTGGCACTTCCTTACTCTGTTTATATTTCTCATATTCACTCTGTTGCGTCTATTTTCTAAAATTTCGGCCTGTCCATAACTAGATACCTTGCTGTATAGAGTTTTTAATTGCGGATTTTTGCTGTGGGTACTTAACGTATTCACAGATAGGATGTCCTACATGGTAGCTATCTGTAGTCAGCGGTGGTAGCCACAGTCACTTGCTCAGTACTCCTGTAAATCAGAGTAGTTGCGGCAGATCATATCATAATCCATCATTCTGAAACTATACGGCACGTGCAGGCACGTCTTTCAAAAAGCTTACCGTCCTAAGATAGGTGTTCGTCGTCTTTCTATCATGAAATATTATCTTAGGACGTAAAATTGGTTTTCTGCTTCCAGATTGGGAACTTCGGCTAGGTTTGGAACGCCTTCGAATATATCAGACGTCAGTCGATCGAGCAGCTCGCTTGTTCGATGCTGTTCATGAGGAAAAGAAAATGGCTGATGATCTCCATTACGAGTATACGCAAGCTGTATGTTATTCCTTTACAATCTACTTTTATGTTAATCGAATTGAAAACTTCATATTCGATTTTTGCTGAAGATCTAACCACAGTGGTCATAGAGCCGATCTTACGATTAGTCCCTGCAAAGAGCGCTTTCTGACTAGCTAAAATAAAACCGGAGAATTAAATTCGAACTTAACTGAGGTGAGCTCATACTCGACGATTTTTTCTTTCATACCTATAGTTGTGCTGAACTAGTGACCTTTGTTGCCGCGTCACTTCGTGTATCCCTGCCTTTTTATATCTTTTTTTTCTCGTCAGCAGTCAAAATTCACTAGAAGTTAGTTGTAAAAATATGTTGTTTCCCGGATCAAAAAAGTATGAATAATATTTGGACTTCGGGAACGGTCAGATGAATTAACAGGATGATTTCCTCCACGATTGCTTCATTTTACCATTTCCCTCATGGTATACCATGTGTGTCGCGCGATTCACAATGGGTTACGGCAAACACGGCATCAGACTGCTTGCCACATTATGAATACAGACGAAGGTATTAGGTTGTCTCATAAAGTAGTGTCGCTTTTTTTCAACCAAAAAATTTTCATCTAAATCCCCATGCTTTTACATCGAGTCATATACCATTCGAAAGAGAATTGTCTGCTCTACAAGATGCTATGTTCTCTTCCACCTATGTTCCATGGTTTTCAAATTTTAGGCCTGCGAAATGGGAGGTCCAGCCGACAAAAATTGACCAAACCGACAACTATCTCTAACTTTATCTTCCCTTGGAGAAATCAATCAATGATGTACCCTCTACTTATGCATGACCTCTTCTAACATTACACTATTAGGTTTCCCAACAAGTCGCGTCGTTCCATTTCCAGACCTGGTTTTTCAACCAGAACTCGACGGTCGAGCACCATTACCTGAGATCTAGGTCGAAATTTTTTTATAGCCGAGACATTGAAAAACTAGTAGAATTTAAAGAACAAGTCATGACTAAGTTAGGAATGTACGCCTGGTTGATTTTCTCATCTTCTCAGGGATAATTTTTTTCAAAGAAATGCGGTCACTTTCGTGGATAAAACACCTTATTCCTAAACACCTAAAATTCGAACTAATTCCCAACAAACATAAAAACAAAACAAATGAGCGAATAGAGCAGAAGAAGTGCTCACAAAAGGAACACCACTCGATATGAAACAATGGCGTTTACGAGGAACAATTTTAATTTGAAAATTGCTATGGCTTATCGGTCAGCCAATTCGAAAAGAAACACGGCAAAGCTTTTTCGGCAACCTAAGAGTGGAATGTTTAGAAGAGGTCATGAGTAAGTAGAGGGTACATCATTGATTGATTTCTCCCAGGGAAAATAAAGTTAGAGCTAGTTGTCGGTTTGGTCAATTTTTGTCGGCTGGACCTCCCATTTCGCAGGCCTAAAATTTGAAAACCCTGGAACAGAGGTGGAAGAAGAACACAGCATCTTGTAGAGCAGACAATTCTCTTTCGAATGGTATATAACGATGTAAAAGCATGGGGATTTAGATGAAAATTTTTTGGTTGAAAAAAGCGACACTAATTATGAGACAACCTAATAACATAAAGCGTGCAAGGGACAGTTCCCGCGTGGGTGTCCTAAACTACTCTTAGCTCATGAACATGTGAGCTCTTTGAATTGCACTCGATTCCTGCAATAAATTATAGCTCTGGAAAAATTTCGGAGATGTGGGGTATTTATACAAATTCTACTTTGACGGTTGCCCAAAATCTCTACCACTTTTATTGCTCTCATTGTCAGTGGTTATTGGAAGCCTCCGCGGGCCAGTCTCAGTGAATTTGACTACATTTCACCGCCTGTTTTCGTCGCTTAGGTTTGAATGGGTGTTTTTAGATCATAGATTTGGAACGTAAAGTGAAGCAGCTTGAAGACGTGCTAAGTACTCTTCAAAGCTGCAGAGAGTCCAATGACGAGACTGATCTTAAACGTGTCCACACATTCAAGGCCAATGCTGAGGTATTGTTGTATTCTTTTCGTGTTCAGTGCAATGTCGTATTCTCTCCTTTTTACGGTGAGTATATTCCAGCTGGTGGAAAAGGGCATAAAAAAATTGAAAGAGGAACGTGAATTTGTGGTGGACCGCCGTGCCCGAGTTGCCAAGATCATAGAGGATTTGGAGCAAGCTTCAACTCATGCTAAGGTCGGTTCCGTTGAGGGTTCTTCTTTGACGGTGGTTTTCTGCGAAAGTGTAAATTGTAGGAGCGTCTTGTGTCATGCCATAACACTCGCAATCAATCTTACACGGAACTTTATAAAAAAGGAGTACCGAAGCATAAGTTGGGAGAAACAATAGAGCATGCAACGAGCATGCTGGAAAAAGAAACGATGCAAGCCAGCGAATTGCTCGCAGACATTCCGCTTACCTGGGAACCAGAACAGTGAGTTGTAGATTTCACTCTTTTATTCGGCTTCATGTGTTAAAAATTTATAAAATATTGACATGGCTTCAAATTCTAGTTATCTCGTAAATGACCCTTCCAAGGAAGCGGCAGCCGTGCTTATTCTGCAAGCCCGTGCCCGTCTTCTAGAGAGGATGGGTCGGCATCGAACTACGGATGGCATTTTTTTGATTCGCCCTTCTGCTTCACAGGTAGTCTGTTGTTAAGCCTCTGTTGAACCCTATTTTTATAGTCGTAAGATTCTGTACATTCTCTTGTAGACAAACAAACTTGTACTGAGTGTGCTTCACGGGGAACGCGTATCGCACTGCCTTATCGGGCAGACATCACAGGTGCGTGATAGCAAACCATGGAAAGTGATCTGGTTTCGTTGCTGATAATCGAATGTAGAAAGACTTTTTCAGGGATGGGGATTCGAGAATGGAGGCGTTTATTTTGTTACCATTGGTGATTTTGTTCGTTATTATGCAAATGCTTCTTTGGAGGAGCACAATTCTGAGATTAAAACAACTCTGACCATGCCAGCGTTATAGTTTTTCATTGCCATAGTTCGTTACTACCAACGGAATTTCCTTTAGACTTGTTTCTAGTCAGTTTTTTCCCATTATTCTAATGACTATCACGAAATCAGCTCTGATCGCCGCTGAAGATAGGTCTGAAGGTTGGATTGTCATTCGCTGTGCTAAAGTTGAAATCCAAACCGAATCCCTGATGCGCTTCATTTCTTGTAAAACTCGTATTAGTAGCTTTTCTTGCTGTCCGCTAGATTTTTTAGCTTGTAATATTTTCTTAACACTAAAAGCTTTGGGAGGCAGGCTAAGGATGTCATCACTCAATGGGGCGCTTCTTTGTTATCTTTAATACGTGACGTTATTAACATTTCCTATTTCCTTTCGTCTTTATTCTCATTAATTTCGCTTGAAGATCACCAGTGGATTCATTTGTGCTTTGTTACCTTCTATCTCCTTACACGTTATCTCTTTCACTACGAGTTTATTCATAGTATCATGGTGGCAGTATGCTCATTCCTACCTTGATGTTTTGTCAAACTGGTTCATGTCCTGGTAATACCGTTCACAAGTTTTTCTCGCGATCATATGCCATTTCGTTCTGCGTTGTATGCTTTCTTAGATCGATAAATAATTAGTAATTCCAGATCGAATATCGAAAAGGCGTCAATCGGCCAACGTCGGCAGCATCATTGGTACGTTGTGTTATTCCATGTCGGCCTCTATTACTAAAAATGCCTCCACGTCTGCTGTTTCTAAAAGTGGCAGCATGCCTCCTAGCGATGCAGCGAAGGTATCGGCGACACTTCCTAATGAGCGTTTCCTCTTGACTAGATGTCGTAGCGAAGCGCTATTGTGCTTACAGACCCAATCATAATTTTCCTGTAATCATTTCATTTCTTGAATTTTCTGCATCTCCAGACCGATGTGATGAAGATGCCATGGACAGACGCCTGGGAAACGATTCGTGTGAAAGTGCAACGGATATTCGGCAACCATGAGACTCTTCGAGAAGACCAAAGTGTTTCTGGAGACGATAGAAATCATGGAAACGACATGGCCTCCAATTCTCGGTAAGCATTCAATAATTGTAACATTATTAATTGTTTTATCACTTCACTGTTTTTATGCACGTCAATTTTTAGAGTTTTATAAATCTAGGCACGCCAAAAATCTGCGATGTAGTAAGAATTCAGTGCGCTTAAAAAATGCGAAAGTTGGCGAAAAGTCCATCTCACGTTTACGTTTAAAAGTTCTTCACCGAAGGCCTCAGCGATTTCAGCGCTTAGATGGCGGTCAGACTCTGCGATTGCATCGCGACATCTTAGTGTTCCCCTGCGCTCTGTTGTGTTTTTTTTTGTGAACGACACGGCTTCACGATATTATAGTTTGCCAACTACCAGGCTACATGGTTTCATCGTTATTGAGATTTAGTTCTCAAAGGTAAGAGAGTTTGCGAGCGTCTTGATTCGTTTGGTAATGACAATATTTGGGAAGTTTTGTCAGCAAAAAGTCTTTGTGCATTTGATTTAGGGCTAGCGAGATAACCTCGAGCATTTGAAGGCAACACGAAGTAAGTTAAAGCTGAGATGTCGGTCAGACTCTGCGATTATCGCGCAGTCGCTCTTGCAATGTGCACAAGCGACGGGCGATTGGCCCCGCCCACATCGATGCAGTCGACATCGGTATCGATCGCGGCCGCTTGCACTTTTGGCAGAGCGACTGCATCGCGCGATGCAATTGCAGAGTCTGACCGACATCTGAATGATAAGTGGGTCACTCATGAGTTGACCGAGCGCCAGCAAAGTCGCATCTCCGTGGCCATCGCTCCATCTATGTATCAAGTTGGCTTGTTTCTAGAAACACTCGACGCGTCTGGACATCCTGAATTATAGGGGGTCAAAGGCGTTCCGGTCAGTATTCAGACTGTCATGGTTCCCGACAGTGCCTGCAAAGCCGGAATTGGTTTGGTGGGATCACGCTGACTGTTTGATGGTCTATCTCAAGAGTTATGCCCAAAAGAAGTCGGACTGATGTTGCACCACTATATCGACAAGATGCAACAGAAAAGATTCCGCATAGCCAAACTGATTAGCAGAAAAGGGCTATTTTTGCCTCTGTGATAACGAGTGAGCCCATGTTCCATATACGACCGTGTACAACCCGAAATTGAACAAATTGTTTCGTGAAAGGTTTCTGTTGTGGAACGATCACAAGTTGTATCTTTATTGAAGACGACTGGTTGGGCATCAACCTGTCCGACTTTTATACGGAGCTGATTGAGTCACAGACAAAACATTTTCTTAATATTATCTAGTATGTTCTCCCGAAAAGGGTACGAAGATTTCAATTTCGGTGATATTAGAAATGTGATTTATCCCAATTTCGATAATGTTGAACAATCATGACAGTTGCCTCGCATGCGCTGGCTCTCTCCATCGTTTTATTACGATTAATTGTGATTTTTCTTGCTCAAAAAGTGACGCTTCGAATATCTATATTTCGCTGAAATTCATTGATCTCCCAACAATCTAAACATAAACACAGGCTTTTTGTTACATATCTAACCTGTCTAGGTTTAATTCATAGCAGTAATTATCACTTTCGTGGAAATGGCTGACAACTTTTCGCGTAACCTTGTGGGTTTACCGCGACGATGCATTGCAAACTTATCCCTTAAGCAAAATATCCCGAAGGTTACGAGATTTCTTTACGAGAGAAATTTTAATGTGGTACTGTCATCTAACCAACTTTGACTGGAGACCCCGATATATTGATAGAGCTTCAAACGCTGATTACAAATATGAAAACTAAAACTGCAAAATGAGTTGCCAAGGAAGTTGTGAGCAGTCAAAGTTGGCTGGAGGTAAAGCGTTACATATGAACTGTACCAGCTTCCGGGCTTCAGAGGCACTGTGTAAAAGTGGTAGTGCTCTCTTTTTCGAACCGGGATTTCACGAGTTCTCTTCCCGTTGGAGTGGTGATATTGAGAGCACTACCACTACTCCATGGCGTCTGAATGTCCGGACGCTAGCACGGTTCATATGTAACGCTTTACTTCCAGCCAACTTTGACTGCTCACAACTTCCTTGGCAGGTTCATTTTGCAGTTTTAGTTTCCATATTTGTAATCAGCATTAGAAAGCCTGTTGACTTAAGTAGGTCTCCATTTGAAACACCACTGGAGGTCGAATGCCTTTGCCGGTAAAGGAAATACAGCATTACAAATTTGTGCCATTACATATTCTAATGCGTACGATGAACGAATTATAATCATAAGGCGACATTGTCTAACACATTGGAGACAGTGCGCGTTTGCTTTTTTGCCGAGGGCGCGGCGTTGGATCCCACCATCTCAAACTGTATTTGTTTTTGAAGTTTGAGATTGAACCAAGTTGTCCGATTTGAAAAAAAAGCTCTAAGAAAATTTGAGAAGGATGCAACTTCCCATCCCATAGTTCGAAATTGTGTTGGGATCCACGTCTCTTTCTGAAGAAAGTACTATTGGGTTAATCAGCTTTAAATAGAAAACCAGCTTTTTACAATAGAAAATGGCAAGCTCCACCTTAGAGTGCCTCTTACATAAAAAAAGGACTCAATGCGTAAGACGCACAGACATAATCACTAACTCTGGACACTATGTGATTGCTGGAAATTTGAAATCTGCACAGTTTTCTTGTGTCGCGTCGTCGCATGGAACTCCATTGTTCCACATAGCAAAAAATGTATCGCGCTCGAGTCGCACTGTCGGTAATGTGTTAAAATTGCTAATGCGACACGATTTCATAGGATGGGAACGTCAAATTTTTCAGCCTCTTCAATTGCAGCTAATTGATATAGGCGCAGAATTCGTTCTCCAAAAAACTCAAAGTCGTGGTAGTTGATGAATAGAATCACTCGTTCTATTCTAGTTATCATTTCTGTGAATATTACCTTTTGAATTTCCACACATGCGATCATTCGCACGAAGCTTCCTTTCACGTGCTTTTGCTAAGTCCATTTGTTATTCCTGCGTTACATGACAAAAGAGAACATAATGCGTCAGAACACTTGAACTTTGAAAAAGGTCTGTTGCGTGATATTTCTGTTCGTTTTCAATGGAACAGTTATGAATGTCAGCTCGATAAAGTTTACATGACCTTGTAGGGTAATCCAAAACCAGTTTTGTCGTATTGCGGTCACAATACTGCTTGGTAGGTCTATTGTGCAGCATAGCTTAGAACAGTGGACTTAAAAATTGCTTCTCATCGTGGTCATATTCGAAATTTGAAACCTGTATCTATCCACCCCTCCCTCCCTCGGCTCTCGACCTCAATCGTGTTTTGATGACTTGTAGTAGAGTGCGGTGGTGCGTCATATGGAGACTGTATTCTATGCTCTATCATGTGGCTACCAATTTTTCACATCTTTTCAGATCACTACACACCGACTATACGGAATTGATGGGTGGCAGTGTGCCATGTCCATCCTGCAAAGGAACCGGTCGAATTCCGAAAGGTTAGAGCTTGTTTGTTTATTTAAGCATCAAAGATATTTTAAAAACATGCAAACGACCCCTTTTGTGAAGCAATTACAAACTTTGATGGACAATGCACAACAATTATAGATTTTTGTTGAACGACTGAAAAGTTTTTTGTCTCCTGCAGCCTTTTGTCAACTTAAAATTCTTTTTTATACGCAATCTTTTTTTTTCAATTGACGATGCGTTAGTAAGGAGAATCCTAATTAATGTTCAGGCTTCTGTTGACAGCATTTGTGGGGGTAACAATTTATGTGCTTCTCTAACTTCTAAAGATTCTGAGGAATTATTTCACGTGCTCAAAACGCTTCTGTGAAATTCCTCCACGTGTCAATGCTCGTTTTTAACGCAGTATTAATCGACTCGGTCACTATTGAATGCTTCCTATTGACGTATGAGTCACTAATTGAAATCATATTATTTTTTGACAGATTCGAGTGGAATTTCTTGCTCCCTGTGTTATTAGGTTCCTTCGGTGTGCTCCGCCATTCTCCTCAACTTGGGAGCCGTTGGAGAAGTAATGTACTGCCTTTACCCAAACATCTTTTGTGATGGAGAGTGGAATGCTCTTTTTCTTGGCCTCAGTGGGATACGATACATATAATTCAAGTTTAGAATCGGCCTATTCACTACGTAAACGGTTTCAGGTAACTGGGAAAGAAGATTTTTAGTGGGAACTGGCACATACAACTAAGCACCCTCCGTCGTGGGCTGGTGAGGTAGACATATGGTGGCCATGAAACAAGCGTGTGATGGTGTGACTTGTAGGCTACAAATCATGTAACAGTTGTCTGTAAATATGGCTCATTTTTGGAATTTTTAGAAATGGAAGAAACGCTCGTTGCACTGATTCCTTTGAACGATGATCGTTTGAAACCGAAGCGGACTTGGTTCTGGGTGCTAATAGGAATTGCGGTTTGTGTTTTTTCAAACTATCGATCTCATGCAACATTTTTTTGGTAATATCCCATTCCCTGTTTCAAGGTGTGTGCTTTGCTTGCTTCTGGTGCGATATTTATGCTGGTACCACGTTCTGTCGATTTATACAGTGATAGACCTGCAATCAATATTATTCATGTAACTGAACACAAGCAACTACCACCAACTATACGTTTCCATTTCATGGTAATCCTTTGATTTTCTATAACCTGACTGTGCTAGGAGATATTTTGAGAATCTTTGCCAACGTTTCTTTTTTCACAGAATTACGTGAACATATCAAATGCGAACTACTACGTTGTACAAGTTGTGAACACGTCGGCAACGGTAAGCTTTCCGTTTGTATGGTTCCTCCTACGTTTCCACACCCTTTTTTCAATTTCAGATTATCTCGAAGTTCCAACCGTGGTCAAGTGATGTGATTGGCTCTGGAATGAATTCAACAACGATAGCTATTGCTCCACTCAGCAGTCGGAACAACATGCTAATGTTCAATAACTCTGTTACGCTTACCGACGTTGTAGCGTAAGTGCAAAAAAATCTGAAAGCTGTTCCTAAAAAATGAGCTTTGGCGGTTGTCAATCCTCTTGGGATTCCTCATGCATTCTAATTTGATTCGATTTCGTAATGGCCACTGATATTGACTTTGCCCATTCAATGACTTATAAAGGATAACCGATGATTGGTTTCATCCTCTGACCAAAACCCGAGTCTACTCCAAATCACAGTAGTGTCGTGACAAGTGGCTCCACTCCTGATTGTCAATTCCCTCCATATACAAGCCCTCCATCTCTCAAGGGTTGGTTGATTGATACCAAGCTTATTCACGTGAACGAAAACCATGCCTCGTGTGTTGGTGGTTCCCGTATGTCCAAAGTTGAAGTTCAAATCATAACAACAAGCTTTAATTCTCAGAATAGAAGTAGAATGTTGTACGCAAAGAAGGGAGGTGAAGTTGAGTACTTTATATCTCCAATGAACTCTGAATCTAATGTACAAGCTATTCTCAAATTTTTGTCATGCATTTATTTTAGGGAGTACTGTCAAGCACCGTTTTCACGACTCACTTCTCTCTACGTCAACATGCAGTTCGACATTGTAGTCTCTTTGATATACTTCAACCACCGCGAGCAGGTGTCACTTTCTACGACGCAGCAAGTGTGCTGCGTTCCATCCGGTAACTGTACGTCTACATGATTCTGCGTTTCAAGCGAAATGAAATGCCTTGAAGTGGTTTCACATCTCTCCCTTTCAAAGGTTAAAAGCAAATACCCGCTTCACAATATTAGCATTCCCTTCCCTTCTCTCCTGATCGTTGTCTGCTTCCCGTAGCACGTCTTACGTTGAGGTTTTGAGTTATAGCTAGTCGATTTGTGAATAATGGTGTCACTTCTTACTGCGCTCCATGTTCAAGATGGAGTTGTAGATGTTTTTTTTGGGCGTTGTAAAATGGAAACAAACTGCTGGTATGTATCTCTCCTAAAATGACATTGCAAGCTGTTAGGCCATTCCGGTGTTGCCGTATCCTGCAATTATTCACAATGTTTTCTTAGGATTCATGATTGCAGCTTACAGTGCTTTTTCTTGAATTTTGACCGACTGTTTTCCATATTTTTGTTGTACAATCTTCATTTTGCTAATTATCTCCTTGAAAAGATGAAATAGCTAATCGTTGTGATATTTTCCAAGTCACAAGTCAATACTGCTTCATGGTTACTGCTTCGAGTAACAATTATGATCACTTTAGTGTTACTCTTCTATTTGTGATGGTATCTCCCGTATTTGCCAGAATTCTTGTATTTTTGTACATTAAAACGATTTTAGTAAAGATCATAGTGTCCCGCAGGTTTTTTTTTCGTGAAGTGGTTTATTCCCCTTGTAATTCCTGCAGGTTTCTTTCGCGTAGTGTGGTTCACTTTCCTTGCAATTATAGGTGACGCAGCTTCTTCCTTCTGCGTAAATCGTTTAAGCGCATTTAGTAGAGAAGTTGAATGGAGACTGAGAACGATAAAGAGGTGGAAAATGGAGATGGTGAAGAAAAGCAGGAGGACACGGAGGAATTAATCGGTAGACTGTTACAGACTTTATTTTGCAGCTTACGTTTTCAGTCTATTTCAACATTGTCGAGTTGTCTTATTGAACGTTAATTTTGCTATTTCCAAATTCAGAAGAGTTGGAAAATGTAGATGCCACAGTAGAGACGGAAGATGGCGACAAGGTCGTGGAAGTGGAAAAAGAACAGCAAGAAGAAAATGACGACGATGACATGATCAGTATAGCATCAAGTGATTTATCGATGGCTGACGAAGCGTGCGATAATTCGGATGATGCAGAAGAGGCAGAGCAAACTGTGAGTTTTTTCATTACGGCTTGTTGCAGAAAATAGATTTTTTCTTGTGGGCGTTGCTAGTCAATATATGATCAAAGAACGTGGTGGTCAAGGGTGACATATATTTCAGGATGAAGTAATCGAGTGTGACAGTTACGATCCTGTGGAAGATTTCGATCCCGACTCTTTGAAACCTGCACCAACGAAGGTATTCGTCATTTGATGATTTTTCTGCATTGTATGGCTGAGGCTTCTGCTGTGGTAATATGACGTTCTATTTAGCATATACGTGCGCCCTGGTTTAAACATCCCGTGACAGAATGCGATGCGAAAAACTGGGAAATTTTCGTAGAAGCCGTAGAAGCTTTCGATCGCGAAACTATATCTGAGGGAATGTCAGTTTATTTTCATCAGTGATAGTGGGACTTTATGTCGGAATATTGAATTGTTTTGAAATAAATACTTCACTTTCAGAGATGATTACTTCGTATAACTATTGAAACGCTGCTCCCTCACTTGCCATCATGCTTTGTTACTCTCATGAAAGGTGAGTGATACTTCTTGCGAAAAATTCCTTTTCAGAGCAAGTTTATGAACATCTTGTCTTCTCGTTTCTTGACTTTACGTAGTGTAAGAATGGGAGGAACCGAATTGTTATGCTCTGAAAAGGCACTTACTTGAATTTTTCCGAATAGGAGGATTCCCTCTGTAACGACAAGACTCGCAAAAATATTGAAATCTTATGGGGATCCTTTTCTTTCATTCCCATTCTTTTTGAAATGCAAGTAGTGTTACATATTTGTACGTGTTTTCCATTTCGCGTCTCCAATATAGGCCTTTCCCTGAGACACAGCAGTGTAGTAACGTATAGGGCCAAAAGTATGGAGCAAAACTTCCAAAGCTGATGTACCGTGTTTGAGAAATGTTAGAAAATGAATTGTTCAATCATTAGACTGTACAAAAGAAACATGGAGGAACAGAAGTATCGTAACGTCTGCTTTGCACCTAGAAATCATCATATATATGCATTTTCATGCTTTCTGTAGTGGTATGTTTTTTGCCATTTGAAGTGCAACTGAAATTGTTGTTTAGGGTGCAGCGTTGTCGATAGGACAAGCTGATAATAACAAAGAGCGCTTAACATCTCGTCTTTTCCAGAGCTGCCTTAAGTTTCTCGTTGCAGAATATGCTACGTTGCATACATAGTGACGCGTGAAAAAAAATGTAGCTATGAAAACAAAGCAAATGCTCGTTCAATTATTGCTCAATCATTCAATCTTTTAGATACTGTATTGTCTGAAAACGAAGCGGCGTCGAGAATGATGGTATGGTTGGAGGTTTGCCTCAGTAAAGAAGTGCAATCATTTGATGAGGTAATGGATGGAATCGTTATGCATAAATAGTCCATTCTGGGATTACAAAAGTTCCATAACCTAATAAGCTGTGAAAAGTTCGTTCAAGAATGTTGATATGTAGGCTCTCTTTCGTAGTTTTTCCGGAACTGATCGTTTCGTGAGCTCTTTAGGTCCTACTAAGCCTGATTACGAAACCAGATTCTTTTGCAGCGTTCATATTGGTTCGTTTACAGGCGAAGAAAATGCATGACATTGCATTTGGGATTTTGAAGGCGGTAGCCGACTCGTCAAAGAGCTGTGTCGTAGGAAAACAATTAATAGTAAGTTTGGTTGTATTGGGTTATTGGAATCCTGTTGTTCTCGAACTGTTTTCGGCCTCAGTATACTTGCAACATTTTTCAGGAATCGGGAATAATGGAGCTTCTACTAGATGTGATGGAAGAGTCAGAGTGTGTCGATTTACGAATGAGGGCACTCCATTCTATTTTCCAATTGGTATATCTAGTTTGTCTTTTTAAGGGGCAATTTTTCTCTACCTTTTATCCTCGTTGTTTTTTACTTTAATGTTTTTCTCGTGCCATAGAGGCTTCTTAGGTGGAAGCTCTATCGAAGGCCCGAACTTTCGAGTTCGTTGCTTTTGAAGGCCCATTCCCCATCGCGCGAGCAAAAGAGCGCCGTTATATCAGTTTTGTAGTGGTATCCACTAGAACGCGCCCCTGCGTTGGGCTTTTGTAAAGGGTCCGGTCGGAACATCGAGTCGTAAACAAAGTTCCTACTTAAGTGCTATACGGCAGCATCTAAGAAATGCATTGAAGAAGACATCATTGGCGAGGTTCTGTGAAATGAGAAGTTGAACTCTACTCGTTGATCATATTGTTATCCAGATATCGTCTCCAACACTTTGGCGGATATCAAACGCTCGTTTTCGTGAAAGAGAAGGTGGCTCAGAAAAGCGAACAAGTGCTCTTTACTCCAGATTTGTTGCAATATCGCTAGGACATCGGTATTTCATAGGCAAGGTGAGGTGATTGGCTAGTTTTAATGATCTCTCTTTCAAAGTAATTGGGATGATTCTTTCAGAACTTTCTGCATCTACTGACACTTGTAATGTCGTGGTCACGTTTTGTCGCTGCTCTCATTGGGCTGGAAAGTGCTTCGAGAAATCTGATTGATGCAGTCTACCGCACAACCAATGTAGAAGATTTGCCGATAACCGCACTTCGGGAAAAATGGGATGGATTTGTATTGAGGTACTATAATAGAAATGTTGTTCTGAATGTACAGCAGAAATCCTTCAAATAATGTTGTGTTCCAGTTTCGATGCACTTCGAGGATATATTCTTCAGTTTGATGATGAGAAAGTCTGCGCTTCGTTCGATGTCTATGCTCTCTTGCAGTCGAGGTGAGTTGGTTAGATTTAACTGATCTCTCAAAGGTTTACGATATCTACGTGACCCTTTTGTTACCAAAGTTCAGTTTTTTTTTGTTTTGCGCTTGAACACTATCTATCTCAATGCCTTTTTTCGAATACTATATTCGCGCAAAGTGCTATGCTAAAGTTCTAATTGCGGTGCGATGTGGTGTTCATGTACAGTGTGAATCAATTAAGGAGCGTGCGCACAGCATGGGAAGAGAGTGCGTCACTTGAGGAGCGTATGTGCAGTGGATGGATTGTGTGTGTTAATTGCGGAGAGTACGCGCAGAGTACGTAGAGTGTATATGAAGTGCGGAGAGTATGCGCAGCGTACGGAGAGTGTATATGAAGTGCGGAGAGTATGCGCAGCGTACGGAGAGTGTATATGAAGTGCGGAGAGTATGCGCAGCGTACGGAGAGTGTATATGAAGTGCGGAGAGTATGCGCAGCGTACGGTGAGGTGATATAATGAATTTTTTTGGGCGGGAGAGTAGGCGTAGCGTACGGAGAGGGTATTTGAATGGCGGAGAGTACGCGTGGCGTACAAATAGTGTGTTAATAGTGGAGGGTGCATGCGCGTGCGATAAATAATTAAATTGGGGAGGGCGCAGAGATTGGTTACGGTATGGACGCTGTGTGCCGGGATATGCCTTGTCTCGGCGAATATTTTTGAAATTATTAAGGCAATTACGGCACTACGAATGGCGCGATACTCTTTACTTGTAGATCCTTTCGTTGTCTTCTATTTGGTTGATATGTTGTGAGCAGAATTGCAGAGAAATGATCTCTTTTAAGAAGATTTTGCTATAAGTTCTTTTACTATTATGCTGTTGCCTTCAATCGTGTACGTCCTCGTTCGTTCCTTTTCTAATTTCTTATAATTTCGCCTAATTTGTTTGTGTATAAATGGTTTAAAGATTTGTTTAAGTTTTGGAGGACTTTGCTTCCAGTTTCATTGTTTTCTACTGGTTTGTTTGATAACTATTAGTTTTGGGTAGCTAGAGGATGTTATCGGTCTGTCAGTGTCTGTCTTGAGCGGCTGCAATTTGTGTCATTGTTTCGCGGATATATTGTATATGTAAGAAATCGTTCCTAGTAGTGAAAATTTCAAATTTCAGGATTCATGTTGTGTAAGACGTGTGTACAATACGTATCTTGGACTAATGGGAAGTTGGGAAATGGTTCAGGCGGTCAGCTTTGTAGGAACTGTTCATGAAATGGTGAGTGCTGTCTGTTTGTTTCTGACTTCTAAAATTTCCGACTATTAAACTAATTTGAATGGGTTGTGTTATATGAAGCTCATCATATCGTAACTCGTAGGGGAAAATTATATTCAATGTAGATCTTTACTCGTTTATAATAATACTTAACTAACGTGTTAATGTTTCTTTTTAACAAGATTCTGTGGAAAACGTGTAAGATGCCTGAATTCACCATAGTTAGCGTAGTGATGCGAAAGTTGGTCTAAAAGGAAGGTAATTTCCTGTCGGCTTCCCAGATTTGAGTATGACAGAAAATTTGCTAGATTGGCGGGGTTTCTATAAATTGCTTGTGCCTTAAATGTCCGAATAAGTGTTAACGTGAAAAATAGCAAGCGTTTACGAGTACTAGGTGTTCAATGAGGTCTACGCAGAGTTGTCTAATGCGATTGTCGACAATCAGTTCCAAAGGAGGTTAAAAGGTGTTAAGGTATCTTTGAAACCATGATATTATTTATTCAAAATACTCACGTTTTCAGGAGTTGCAATCATGGGGAGAGGGAGCCAATCGGAGTTCGATGTCGGAGCAGAGTTGGCGGATCCGCAGAATAAATCAGAACAGAGAGAATACCATAGGTCGGCCATCCGAGATTTTACATATGCGCAATATTTGGTCATATTTATTTAAGTATACTTTTTTTTTTCTCGTCGAATATCGTAGTGATAAACAATTTTATTGATTTTTTTTTTTTTCTTATTTTCGTACCTTTTCGTTTAGTAGCAACTCCATAATATTAATGCGTTGAAACTTTCATTCACAAAGTAGTGGCTCCATTTCGCTAATCGATGCAAGCTTGCTAGGATTCATTCTTCAATCTATTGCTCCGTATTTTTCTTGTGGTTTGGCCGAAATTGTACATTTTACCCGGGAGTTCTCCATCTCGTGTTCCATTTTACTGTCGTGGAACTTGAGGAATCTGACAATCTGGCAGAGCGCCTACAGCGCTGTGGCGGATTGTCACTATGCGCGCTAAACTTCTTATTTTTGTTGTTCCGTAATGTTGATTTCATGACTAGTCAAAATGAAATTGTCGACGTGTAAAAGTTGTTACTTGAGGAGGGCCCTTTATTTTTGTATGTATGACCATTATGAAAGCAAATTTATACCTAAATGAAACACGAAAATGATTTTTTTTTGGATTTTCCTTATTTTTCCGTTTTTTTTGTTTTTTATTTTTATTGAAGTGAGATCTTTGAGAAATGAGGAGATCAGTTCATCGTACTTTGTTTTAGGAAGGGAAAAGGTGTCCGTCGACTGAGATCATGGCACAAAGTACGATAGTGGGATGAGTTCGGATGTATTGGTGAGTTTGTTGGCTCACTAATTCTACTCCCAATCGGTGTTTGAGGTTATAAGTTTTGGATTAGTTTATTTGTAAGGTCGAAAAGTCGTAAAAATTTTGGATAGTTGTTTTGTTATTAGTCGATTAGTCGTTGCGTTTGTGTTTGCCAGTGGCTGCTGTTTTTTAAACTTATGTGTTGCATTTGATTGATTGTTTCCAGTATTAAGATCAAGTAGGGTAAGGTTCGTATCAATTTCGTACTTGTTCGCAAGGTTTATATGGTTTTATCTTTTTAGTGCCTCGATTTTGACTCAATTACTCGATTTCGACTATAGTTGCCAGCTTGTCATTAGCTCGTATCCTTTGAATATTGAAATTGTGTTTCGTTGTTTTCCTTGTTATTGTGCTTGTTATCCGGGGCCTGTCTCGCCATGTATTTGATGTATGGTTTCGTTTTGTGTGTTATTGTCTGATTTTGTATTTGATATTGTGTGTGTTAAAGTTGTAATTTTGGCCGATGCACCATGTTTTGATTCAGTGGTAGTTTACAAGGTGTTTAATAAATCATTTATTAATTACAACGCAACTATGATCAAACACACAATGGAGAAGAGACAGGAGAGGATAGAAGTTGTTATCGTTGTACATTGCTACATCTCGTATTGTTGTCCTTAGGCTATGTGTCCGAGTGTAAGTCATCTTGTCGTCTTAACGAGTGGCGAGTCCGACTGGCATAGAATCGTCGTGTCGTAGTTGTAAAGGTTAGGGTAGATGGTGTGCGACCGTAATCGCTTGACGAGAGGGGCGGAGCCCCAGAAGGAAGAGAGAAGAGTTGAAAGAGGCTAAACTAAAGGTGACACCGAAGTGGAAGACTGCCTCTGCCGCCCGGAGCGCGCTCTTTATACCTCCCAGAAGGGGCGGTATATATACCTGTGCTAGTAGGCGGTCCGGTGGGCATGGCAATTTGGAATTGGTTGTAGTTTGTACGCGGTAAATTCAAAATGTATATGCCATGTTTCGGCACTTGTTTGTTGTAACAGGGCTTAGCCTTAGGGTATTTAGGGGACCAGTCTTTATCATGACTGGGAAGTCATGACAGTCGCCTAGCAGATCACGAAAATGGCGTCAGTTCTTTTACGCAACTATATTGTTTTTCTCTTTCTTTCTTGCCTTTCAAGTCCTGGGCAACCAAATTAGTCGAATTCTGAATGGATTCTGGAACTTCCACTGATTGCGAGTTCTTTCCTACTTTTTGCAGAAAGAGCAGAAGCCATGTGAGAATTTCGCGAACTTCGAAGAGGGTGTTTGTGAGATCGATGAGAAATTTCCAAGCGCATCGGAGATACGACTAACGATTCTCTATCGTCTTCGTGTACTCAACCTTCTTGACGAATTGCGCGGCTGTTCTGGAACGTAAGTGATGTGCTCTTCTTGCAGCACTATACAATATGATGTGATAAGTTGGCGCCGCACGCATTGCGCGCACAACACAGATCTGCGGCGAATTTTGATGGTGCGACGAAAATTTTCAAATTTGGCTTGATACACCACGAATATCTGAATTCTCAGCTAAATTCTATCCGCTCCATCATCGACGGCTTTCAACCTCTTTTTCTTCGTCAACCATTATCCTCTTTTTCCCGGTCTCCGGACTGCTTCCGGACAATAAATCTCGTGGCAAACTCCGCCTACTTCGGTGCGTGCCCGCCCACCAATAGCATTTGCCCCCCTTCCTTTCGCCGACCTCTACCCCCTTTTTCACCGGTCTCTGGGACCTCTTGGAACCAAATTACGACACTTTTGGCAAACTCCGCCCACTTAGGTGCGTGCTCTACCCACTAATAGCAGTTGACCTCCTTTCCTTCGCCAACCTCTACTCCCTTTTTCCCAGCCTCCTGGACTTCTTGGAGCCGAGTTATGAATTTTCGTCGCAAACTCCGCCCACTTTGGTCAAGCCCGCCCACCATGACAGCTGGCCTCCACTCCTCCACCCACCTCCATCCACCTTTTTCCCGGCCTCCGGGACTTCTTGGAGCCGAGTTATGAATTTTCGTCGCAAACTCCGCCCACTTTGGTCAAGCCCCGCCCACCATGACAGCTGGCCTCCACTCCTCCATACACCTCTATCCACCTTTTTCCGGCTCTTTAAGACTTCCCCGACCCGAATTATGAGGGCTTGTAGAAAATGCTGTACACTTCAGAGCGCGCCCGCCCATTCTGGGCGGGCCTCCGCCCACGTCATGTATGCAGGAAACACCTTAGACATTGCTCCCTTACACCAAATTGTTTCTGCTCTGTAGGCTTTCTCCCAACCGAGTTATGAAATTTTTCATAAAGCACTGCTTTTTTAGAGAACGCCCCCCCACCGGGGGTGGGTCTCCCTAATTCGATGTGACTTACCAATGCACACCTTAAGACGAAGCGCTTTACAGTAAGTAGGATATAATAGTGCTATTTTTCAAGTTACATTTCAGAATGCGTCATAATATTGATGACGAAACTCGTGTAGCGGCTTTGATGTCATTGAGCGAGCTCTGCAATGACCCGAGCGGAAGAGGTCAACGTGAGGTCGTCTGGATTTTAGCCCAGAAATACGTTTACTACATCATGGATATCATTGAATACGCCTCTGTGAGTCGGTAGTTCTAGTTGCAGTATTGTAGTTCTAGTAAACAAAAGGTAATTGATCTACCAATAGAAAACTCATTTCCTAAATTACGCGCTGTTCGGTAAGACCGACGTCATAGT